TTGAGATCGCAAATAAGATTCCACTCTTAGTGATAATATTTCTGTAGGTCCAGTACAAAAATGTTTTTTAATGGGCACTGAAAATATGAATTTTACGAATTATAAAGAAACATACAAATATTTAAGCTACCGCTTTCCACAGTTTCTATATCCTGTATCCCAAAGAGCAAAAGGGTGCAATAGTGTGGCTGACCTGTTCTTAATTTTTGTTTATTCATTAAACTATTACATTTTGAAAAATAAATTTTTAAAATATTTTTTTAAATTATTTTCTTTTTTGTGTGAGCGGGTACAGGGTACTTCACTGTCGGGCTTGCTCGACTGTACCGTTCCCTCTTGATTGATTATTATTAATTAATTACATTTTTAAAAATTAATTTTGTAAATATTTTGTAAAATATTTTCTTGTGTGCGCGTGTACAGGGTAGTTCACTGTCGGGCTTTCTCTTCTTTAGAGTTGTTTTGGACGTCAATTAATTTTGAATTTAGAGATGGAAACTGCGATTAAATGATTGTATATTCATACATTGTAATAATAATTAAAATAATAATTACCACTTAAAAGTGCTTTTGAACCCAATTTTGATTCGAAATCAATTAGATTCAGAAATAAAAACCAATGAGGCCAATGGTTATTACACATATTTTTATTGAATTTAGTGTACTAATGCACACTTACGGTTTTATGTTCTATTTGGTTTCAGTAAATTTTATGAAAAGTTGGTGGCTCCCGATTTTATATTCATATTTGTATATCGAGGCCTGGGATATCTCAACGAGCATGCAGGAATCCCACCATGTGAGTTTGTTCCTGAGTAGGCACTGGGTTCGAATCACGCTGCAACCATTATGACAGAAGTATAGTATGTATGATTGAAATTTCATAGTTATCATAAAATTTAATTATTGTCCAACCTATAAAAAAACATGTGCATGCGCAGTGTAATACAAGTAATAAAAATAATAGAGATAAGCTATTGTATTATAACCATTTACACCTTTAAAACACATTTAAATTTCATTGTGGGAATGCCAGGCAACCTAATTTTCAGAGGTAGGGATGGCTTGTAATTCTGGTGGCTGGGTGAAAATTGGAATACTCTGGATTCTTCGGTACAAAAATGTTCTGTCCTTTTTCACCTACAATTATACACATTTAACTTTATATCTACTATAAGATGATGGCTTCTGTTTGACGTTCAATTAATAATAAGATATGGAAATAATTAATATATTGCAAGGTCTAAATTGCATTGATAATTGGCCGTTTGAATTGGCTGCGGCAATTGAAAATGGCATATAAATAGCAACAATGGCGTCAGCTACAACAATAAGAGCAACAGCAGCTACAAAAACAAGAACAACGAGCAAAACAATTGCATTGTTAAATCGTACATTGACAGAAAAAGAAAAGTGCTACACACAAATACGGAGAAACGGACGGACAGTTGTACAGACTTGCATGCACATTCAATGATTTTCGGTTAATTTGTTTATTTGCATAGTCGCCACATTGTTGTAATCATCGGCTATCATTAAAATTTAAACAAATAAATAAATACTCGTAAACATGCCGCATGCAAATTGAAAAACGCAAACGTTCAGTAATTTTGTTTTTTTTTTTTTTCAATTATTCGCAAAGCTGCGTAGTTATTGCGTGTCTTCTCTTTTTTTATTACGTCTATAGATGTGGGTGGTCATACATACGTGTGTATATAATGATGTGTATATAATATGTACGAGTATTTATGTATGCACATACAATGCCTCCAAATAAAATGAAAGAGTCACATCAAATACTTGTATATCATAAGAGTAACATTGTTAGAGCTATCTGACATTGTCGCTCATTAAAGTTATCTGAATTAAATTTTGAAAACGTGTTCAATAAATTTGATGGCGCTCTTACTTTGAATTTTGTGTGTTTGTTACAGTATTAGGATATATGTATTTACAGTGACAACTCTCCTGGCCGGACACTCACTATCTTGCATCTTTAGCGCGCCGGGAGTCCGTCCGGCAGTGTTTGCCTAGAGTGGATACTTAGAGATTTTTTTGCTTCTTGTATGTGTTAAAATAAATGGATTATATTTAATATATATAGTAGTTATGATGATATTCATATATACAAGTATAACAATGATACATAACAATAAAAAATAAAATTTCAAAGGTAGACATACATAATAAGTGTGGGTAATTTTACTCTCGAATATATGTTTATATTGCAGTCGCCTGACAGCCAAATCGATTTTTAAATTGTTTCTTAATAACGATCCACGTCTGTGACTTTCCTATTGGACTTTTTTTTTAATTTGAAAAAAAAAAAAATCATTAACAGAAGAATTTTAAATTCAATATCATTCGATTCAGACATAATTATCTTCTTTTTTGTTTATATTTTTTAATTTTTGCCTTTTTCATGTCTATGCTTGTCAGACTTTGTTTATAAGAGTTTCGCGTCCGGTCAAAAGAAAGTCCATCCACGAAAGGGGACATTAATCTAACATGTACACCAATACGAGTGCTTCCGGGATAAAAAGAGGTGTCCATTAAGAGAGTGTTCACAGTATTTGGGACAACAATTGGAACTAATTAATATTTAATACACATGCCGTTTTCTGATTTTGCGTTGCAATCGCGTTCCTTTTATACATTTTTATTGGCAATTAATTTAAAAACATACTCGAACTATATGGGTGGTCGAACAAAATCCTACTTTGGTAGCAGTAGTAGTAGTAACGGTGGTTTCCTTTTTTCAACTATAGATGGTTTGTTTGGCTATAAATGTATGCCAAAGACATCTTGTAAATTGATTTAATACTTTGGGTATCACTTCTACTTTTGAAAGGTAGAAAAAAAGTAACATATTTATGTTGTTTTTTTTTTGCGTTTTAGAGCTTCAATAATTGCGTGTAAATCATTGTAATGGTTATATATAAACATAAATTATATATATGGATTACAGATTCATATTGTGTAGACTGAAAACGGCACGAAAAAGCACGCACGAAGAATCACGCAAATATTAATATTTTGGAGAGTTGTATGACTTTCGGCATTTTATCTTGTGATTTATAATTGTCCTTTGATTTTACGAAATTAAAATTATTCCGTAATAAATATGGCACAAAGTTACGACTCTAAACTCTCAACGAAATGTAGATTTTGACACTAGTTCAACTAATTCTAACTAAAAGTATAATTATTCGATTAATAATGCATTATTTTTTGATATCCTTCTATTTCGTGTTGGACCGTGCTGATTATTATATAAGAAATAGTTCCGTTACCGCACGTGCATGTTTTTAAAAGCCAACTTCGTTGTCGTGTCGCGTCCCATCGGATAAAATCCGCCCCTTGTTCATCGCTAAGCGCAGGGCTTGATTAGATTCCAAAAAATGTTTTACAAAGTTGCATGGAAATACTTTGTTTAGTTCTAAGCCTGATATTTTATCTCTGGTATGTATGTAAAAATATGTACTTGTACAAGCACATGCACATACTCGTATAAAATAATATTTGCAAACTCTAATAAAAATATCCGCAATGTCAATGCAATGTTGACTTTGAACTATAACTATAAATGTATTTTGTTTGCTTCGAAATGCGTGTCGCTCGTGATAATGTGCAATTATTGAACATATGAAAAAACAATAAACAAAAATTACACAAGCCAATAATATTAAACAACAGTAATTATTGTGGCAAATTTGTTCGGTCGCTATACTCGTATGCTTCTATCAATAACAACTTATGCGACAAATATAATTTTATTGCATTCAGATAAATGGTAGTTCTATACCCTGTATCTGAAGGGTAAAACAACTGAGGCTTGCAATGTACATACATATGTATGTATGTATCTATATATGTAGGTATCAGGCAGTAGGAAGCTTCATCGATCGCATAAAGTATATGTTTTCTAGAAAACTATGACAAGACAATTCGATCACGACATGTTTGTCTGTACGTCCGTCCGAACATAGAGCAGCCCAGCTAGATATGTACGTAGTACTCTCTTAAAATATTTGATTTCTTAAGCTCCAACCAATACATTATTCCAAGACTTCTTATTTATACTACAATCATCAATCAGGAAAAGTCTCCTCTTACACTTTATCTTGTTATTGAAATGCTAAGTGTAACTTTGTAATCAGGATTACGATCTAATTCCCAAACATCGAAAAGATCTAAGCACATTTCAGGACACAAATTTACAAATGTTATTTAACAACATATTCAATTTAAAACCTGATTGATTAATGTTATTATTATATTTTTAAAAACCCATGTTGGCGACTGGGCGGTTCCAATTGGCAAGCGCCAATTATAATGTAACCAATGGCTTGATATGGTGTTTTTTTGTTTTGGGTTTATTGTGTGTCTTAAAAGGAGGAGACTTATGCTGTTGCTTTCTATATGTATGTATATCAACACCTATTAGTTAACCAACGCTTTATTCAGATACGTTCGGCAGCTGATTTGTTGTAAGCCTCGCTTATATAATATTTTTTAGTTGGTGGCCATATCTTAATTTACACTATACAAGTATGTATATATACTACTATTATTTATTAATTGTCAACAAATACAATGTTACTTAGGTGATTGACTGATTGCTTAGTAGACAGTAGAACTGACTAACTGACTGACTAGCCAATAGACTGAGAGAGTAATAATAATTTAATCCGCGCCAACATGCAAGGTCTGGTGGGTTTAAACAACAGCTGGGGCCGAGACAATTACGCGAATGTCAACAAATAAATTTAAAATAATTAACAATAAATACAACTGCAAAACAACAACAAAAGCAAAACAACAGAAGCGCCGATGACTCTGCGCTGATATCGATGCGAATGAGCTTAATGGGCATTAATTACTAGCGATAATTGCATTCAGATGTACGCACGAACAGATATACATATGTATGTACATACATGTGTACGAGTATATACATATGTACAAATATATATTTAGATGTATTTATATTCGTGTAGTATAAGATGTAGATGTAACAAGATTTGCCTGCACATTGAATTTTCAGCAGATTATCCATTGACATGGTCGTGGGATTAGCTCAGTTGCTGTTCCCAATCAGATCGCCTCACTATTCTCTATAAAATGGGGCATCATCTGGCTGAGTGTGTTTAATAGTAAAAGGGCGTCGCTGAATATCGGATCATGAAACTTACATTCCTCTCGTTCGTCTCTCTCGCCTTGCTGCTGGTGAGTAGGCAGGACACTATATTCACCCAATTTGGAATACAATAGTTGTTGCTTGATTTCCAGTGCTCGGCGCAGGCGCAAAATGGCGGCGGCGGAGAAGCCAGTGGAGGTGCTCAGGCTGGTTTTAACGTGGGCGCAGGAGCCGCTGCTCAAGGAGAAGGTGCAGGTGGCCAGGGTGCTGGCGAAGCCGAGGGTGGAGCTGGAGCAGGTGTGGGTGCTGGCATGAACGCAGGAGCTGGAGCGGAAGGTGGTGCTAAGGGTGCAGGCGGCCGTTAGGAAATGCCAGCAGACCTCTCTCTCTCTCTCTTTGTTTCTTTGGACTTGGCTTTGCCCCCTGTGTTGTATAATTGAAAAGAAATTGTTGACGATTTAGTTGTTATTGTTTGCACGGTACAAACACGCACACACACACTCACACACAAACACACACACACAGTCTTACACAAGCATACACACCTCGAATGCATTGGCGCCAGACCGTTTATTGATCAACATCGACCATTAGACCGGCAGCGTCGAGGTGTGCTTACTGTGAGGCTCAGTGTCATAATTGATTTGGAACCGCAAGTCGAGGCACCGTTCCCGTCGCACGTAATTCAATTCGGGTGAAAATCGGCGTACTTCAATAGATAGCAAACACAAATTCGTTGGCAACTAAATTCCATTTAATGCCATTTTATGAAACGCACTTCAGATCGAAAACAAGTGACAGGGTCGCCGTCGTCGCTTTGTTGTTTTTGTTGTTGTCACCAACAACAACACCACCACCTCTACTAATCAGTTTGAGAATCTAAGCAGTAGAGTCAAAAATAGAATAATCATCATTAATGTTAAAAATAAGTACCGGTGTGCATATAAACAAATACATTGAAACAATTTCCTCATACATCAAATGAATAAATAAATATACAGTCCTATGAACAATTTTGCACGATCATTTTTCTGATTGCCGAAGGGGCTTCTCGGCCACAATCAGCATTAAATATTATTTCAAAATAGCAACATTTATAAAGTTGATTAAATCCCATGATATGACTGCATGGATGTCAGGAAGTATAGGAGCTACAATAACCAAACTTGCGCCCCAGATAGCTCCCACATTTATTCGTAACTTTATTATTATTGAAATTCTGGAATAATTTTGGGATTAACATTATTTTATTATTAGTATTTTATTATTGTTTTTGTAAAAATAGAGAGAGAGAGAGACTGCCAAAATCGTTCGCTGACAACAACTATAAATATAAAATGGGAACATATATTTGGGTTGGGTATTCCCATATTGATTGTGGCAGAAAAAGAAGTCAAAGCTTAAAAGTATGTAAGGCTATAAATTAATTACCAAAATAATCGCAGCTAAACTATGAAGGGGAACCGACAAGTTATATCCATATACATATGTATGTATGTATTTAATTAATGAGTCTAAAAATGGAAAAAAAAACTTGAAAGGGCGCACACACAGTGTGCTTACTAATACGAAAGGAAAAACGTGGAATTAAGCAAGTCGCACAACTATACGCAGTGATATTTCAAATGCTGATTATATAAAACGACCCTTAACGGGGTGTGTAATGGCGTGGTCTTCTCAGAAGAAAACATTTTAATTTCAAAGTCCTTGTTGGCTAAAGCTAGTATTTCCGTGACATCCGCTAAGGAACCTATTAATGGGGGCGGCTGTATGACAGCGTTGTAGGTGTGATATTGTGGGGGCCATTATAATTCAAATTACAATTCTTGCTAATCACAATGAATGCGTTGTATTACGGTGGTATTTTCATGCCCCTTTTGCAACACTGGTATGGATTCATCAACATTATAAAGAGCTTATACAGCCAAGATGTTAGATCATATTTTATGAGTCAAAATGGATATAATGGATAATAGCAATATCAACAAGTAAAAAAGCTAAAGTCGGGTGCCCGACTTTGAAATACTCTGTACATATGTTTACAATAATTATCGAAAACTAAAAAAAATTAAGAAAATTAAAAAAAAAAAAATGTTGATCTATTTTACCTCTCTCGGTATTCGAACTCACATAAAGGGTGTATAATTGCACATTTACATAGCAATTGCGTCTGTGTGAGTGTATGTATGCCTATGCGCATCTCTTCGTGTCTGTGTAAACATGTTAGCAGTCAACCAAACAGCAGCATCGAAAACAGCCGCGGGCAGCAGCAAATATATTTATGGCTATAACTTCTTGTTAAATCGGTCTATTATAGTGAAACTTGGCATACGGACACATAATAACTAACTGGGGGTAGTTCGAAATTCCAAAAATTACGGGAGATAGAAAAAATCGCAATTTGCATGGGAAAGGGGGAAGGAGGAAAATTCCAAAATATACATTTTCTGCGTATTCTCACAAGGCATCTTTGACTAAAATTTGGTGTTCCTAGGTCTTATAGTTTCCGAGATATAGGCGATTATACGAATGGAAAATCGGGAAAACCCCCATAGGGGGAAGTGGGGGCGGGAAAGGATTTTTAGGAAAAAATAAAACAAACTCATATATAATACACACATAAGGCATCTTTGTGCAAAATTTGGTGTCTCTATCTCTTATAGTCTCTGAGATCCAGACAGACAGGACTAGATCGACTCGTCTCGTCATGCTGATCAAGAATATATATACTTTGTAGGGTCTGCCACGCCTCCTTCTGCCTGTTACATTTTTCAGCTCCCGCAAACCTAATATACTTCTGTACATTTCATGTACAGAGTATAAAAATGTTTTGAAATTTCTGACATGTCAGGATCAGGAAAACATTATTCGCGAAATATTCGTGAATTACCTGTGTGATGTCCAGATAATAATACATAGTATTTTTTGTCAAGGTGTCCTATTCAAGTGTTGAAAATTAGGGAGCCCGCATTATACTGGTTTTTGCTAAATAATTTCTTGCTAGTACCTAAATCTTAAGGATTTAATTTTCCATTCCATTTCATCGTGTCGAGGCGTGAAGTGTACTTATCTCTTTGTTAGAAAGATAGCCGTTCAAGTGCTTATTGTATGTGTAATTATCGTAACAGAAGATCTTGTAGCACAAATCATCTCTGCCAAGACAAGGTTTCGAAAATTGTTGAAAATGATTTATTCAGTTAATATTATTCATGTGCAAAATAATTTCAGAAATTAAACAAAATAGAACGCTGCGGTTGAGCAAGCCCGACAGTAAAATAGCCTGTACTCTCCACAAAAAAGAAAAATTAAAAAAAAATTAAATTAATTATTAAAAAAATGAATTAATTAATTAAATTAAATTAGAATACATGTTTATGTTCAATTCTAACAGCATACATTTACATCACGTACCTATGCGTGTTTATATGCGTGTATGTATGCAGCACAAAGTTGAACCAAAGCAGCAACAACAACAACAGCTGCGGGCAGCGCTGCCGACAGACCTGCAGGCAGCGCATGAGCAGCGATTTTATTTATGGCTATAACTTTCTTCAGAATTGACCTATCATGATGAAACTTGGTATACAGACTAGAGTTGGGCACGGGCCGTGTTTTTTGTCGTGGCACTTCGTGCCACGCGTGGGCCCGCGTGTTCGTGTTGTAAATTCCGATTTCGTGCGTGGCCGTGCGTGTTCGTGTTGAGCCAAAAAGGCACGACAAAACACGCACGAGGAAACACGAAAGAACACGAACATAGCACGAAATAAAATGAACAACTAAAGTAATAAAAAAACGAATGTTGGGTAAATAATCAAAATATATCGATAATTCGCACTATATTACAGATTTGTTTGAACTTAAAGTTGCTATGTTAGGTGTAAAAGAATTTGTACTTTCTAAAACAGGATCTAATATTTTGGAACAAGTCAATTCTATACTTGATGAATATGAGCTACGAAACAGTCTTAAGAGTAGTGTCATAATAACAGACAATGGTTCAAATGTTGTTTCCGCATTTAGCCACCACAAAAGGCTTTCTTGTCACAATCTTAATTTAGTTAAAAAATTGGTAAAATATTTTAAACATTCAGAGCTTAATTGCAAGCTGAGCAAAACTTTAAAACAGGAAGTCAGCACAAGATGGAATTCAATCTATATTATGCTAAATAGCATTTATGATAAATTAGAAATCCAGCATTTGTTACTGGAAAAAAATGAATTAAAACGTATTTCAGGGATTGACTTTGACCTGATGCATGACTTATTCAATTTTCTCAAACCATTTAAAGAATGCTCAGAGAAGCTTAGTTCTGAAAAAGAATCAACAATTGTTATATTTGCGTTGTGGTCTGAAAAGCTGAAGAACCACTGCGACTGGGGCGTTGTCGATTCTGCTGTTATAACAAAACTAAAGAATCTAACCTTAAATTCTTTAAAAAAAACGTTTTGAACCAACCACAGTTCATTTATTGGGGCTATTTTTGAATCCACCTTTTAAGGAAATGAACTTTTTAAGTCCCGATAAAAAGGGGCACGTCATTCTGACACTAAAATCGATGCTAGCTGAAATAAATGATAGCTTAAATAACGATTTAACACTTAAATAAGAAAACGAAGCACCCAATAGTCAACACGACTTTTCAGAATTTTTGGACACTAATAATTAAAAAAAAAAATTAAATTGGACAGGTCAAGAATGGATATTGAAATAGATGATTATATAAGTAGTGTTGTTGATCCAGGAATTTGTGTGCTAACATTCTGGAAAAAATCAACAAAATTTAAAATGCTAAGGCAATTATCAAGGCATATACTCAATATCCCTGTCAGCTCTGCAACAAGCGAACGAGTTTTTTCCACTTCTGGACATATTTTAAATGAGCGACGTACTCGGCTTCTTAGCTCAAATATTGATAAGATAATCTTTCTGAATAAAAATTTGTAATGTTTATGTACATATATATATACTTTTCTTTTTTTTTAATTTTTATATTTAATATATAAAAAGTTCGTGTTGGGCCGTGTTGGGCCGTGTTAAGAAAAATTTTCGTCGTGCGTGCGCGTGCGTGTTTCTAAAAGTTAATTTCGTGGCCGTGTCGTGTCGGGCCGAAAATAGCTGGCCCGTGCCCATCTCTAATACAGACACATAATCACTAACGGGATCTAGCTACCTAATTTTAATTAATCACATTAATTCCAAGAACTACGGGAGTTATGGAAAAAAACAGAAATTGCGGGGTGGGGGGGGGGTGGTTGTATCAGTATAAAAAAATAAACTTGACCTGCCTAGGGCTTATGGGAATCTGGATACCGAGTTTGGTTATTCTAGCTCTAGTACCTTCTGAGATCCTTGCGCTCATACAGACGGACGTACAGATGGACGGACATGGCTATATAGACTCGGCTTGTCACCCTGATCAAGAATATATATACTTTGTGGGGTCTGCCACGACTCCTTCTGTGTGTTACATACATACATGCGCATTAAACTAGTATAGCCTTTCACCCTTTGGGTACAGGCTATAAAAAATCATTAAAATCGGTTCACTCAGTCGAATGTTCTGAGGTAACAAACATGAAAAATTGCGAACGAGTTGATAGCGACCTCCTTTTTTGAAGTCGGTTAAAAACATTACAACTTGATAACTTACTGTTATGTCTTAACTTGGTTTCACATTCATACATAAGTAATACACAACAGTATGTTTTACAACGCAATATCATTTCCTGAAAACAGATCACATAATGTGCATGTACCGCACCCCACACTGGATGGGGCACATAATTTGTCCTTGAAGTCAGTCCAGTGGCTACATAATGCGTTCGAGTGCATTTATGAGTGCTCCATGAGCATTGTCAAGTTCCATAACTCGGCAGCGACGCTGGTAGTTCAAGGCATAACTGTTACGATAGCACAGTTATGACAGGTGTGGAGACATGCTGCGAATTAGATAAGAGCGCTCCTCGCGTCCACCGTCTTCATACTAGGGCACTTATTCATGCTCGGGAGTGATTA